ATAGAGGGAGCACAGCCCCTTGTGGCACACTCACTTGGTACATGCGGACATTGCAGGGCGTAAATAGAGGGAGCACAGCCCCTTGTGGCACACTCGAGGCCGCAGCTAGCTGCTGTGGCGGCCCTGGCCTGTGCGGCCCCAGTGCCCGACGAGGAGCGTGTCATGTCTCCCTCAAGCCCAGGCTTGGGGTGCTTGGAACAACAGTGCCTGGCTGTAGAACCCCGCTCCTAGCTCAGCCTCTCCAGTTCTGGAAGAACGTATTGGTGTCTCAGCACAGCCCTGTGGGATTTTACAATCTGAAGCTCTCAGCCACATCCAGGCGTGAGTCCCGTGTCCCCGCCACCCTGACGGAAGAGGCCCCTGCCCCGCGCTGCTGAGTTTCTTCCTGTGCAGCAGTGAGGGGGGTGGGGTCGGTCGCTCGGCTCCTCTGTGAGCTGCACAGTGCCTCTGCTCCCTGCGTTCCCACTGGAGGGCGCTTTCCTTCACCCATTCAGCAAGCTGTGTAAGTGGTGTCCGCGGTAGGTCAAGCCTCGTGAGTGGTTTACAGTCGTTTTGCAGTTGACCCCCTTCAGCCAGTCTCCAGGTAAACCGCTGTCCAGAATTCCCCAGCAGTGTGATTGGTGTCTGCCCGAGAGGTGGTCCGGTGGCTCGCTCACCTGTTTGTCATTTACGTCCCCACATGTTTTTAGTAAAGTTACAGGGCAACTTTTAGGTTTCAAAGACGTTTTAAAAAGGTTTTCAAAGGAGAGTTCGCAAACCATTTAGGGAAAAACAAGTAGCAGGTGTAACGATTTAACACTAATTTTGATCCTGACTGTCCTGGTTACTTTTCTCTCATTGCTGACACAAAATACCCAACATCCAAAGTTAAAGAAGGAAGCTGGGCATGGAGGCGCATGCTTGTAATCCTAGCACTGGGGAGGCTGAGGCAGGATTACTGTGAGTTCAAGGCCAGCATGGACTACAAAGTGAGTTCAATGCTAGCCTGACCTGCGTAGTGAAACCCTGTCTCAAAAAAGACAAAAACAAAGTTAAGGAAGGAAAGGTTTATTTAGCTCACAGGGGCTGGGGATATAGCTCAGTGGCGCAGCACTTGCCTTGCAAGCATGAGGTCATGAGTTCGATTCCCAGTACCACCTCCGCAAAAAAAAAAACTAGTTAACCCTATTTAGCTCACAGTTTGTAGTGGTTATGATCCTCCTCCCAGCCCCCATTCTAGCACCAGGCCACTGTTCTCATTTACATTTACATGTATTCAGCATCGGGTGAGTCTGACCTTTTCCCCAGCCTGTCCGCCAGTAACTGGAGCAAGCATCAGTCAGCTCAGGGAATGAAGGAAGAGCTCTGTCCCCGGCATGCTTTCCTTCTGTGTCTCACCCAGGTACCGAGTTCTGGCAATTGGCGATGAAAAATACCGGGTGAGGAAAGAGGATGAACTTAACAGGTAAGTGTTGACATCAGAGGTGACCTGGGGCCCATCCAGCCGGGCCCTTGTTGCTGTAAATATCGTCCTGTGAGAACCTACGAGTCCATGAAACCCCCCAAGACAAAGTATTCGGTGTCTGACCCTTTCTAACAGCTGGCCGGTCTCTAGCCTCAAGTACCACTGGCCAGGCCTTCAGGCGCTGCAGGGAAAAGGTTTTGACCCTCAGGCCGCAAGCTTTGCAAGCAGAGCTCCCACACAGCTCAGGTTTTTTTCAATCCCATCTTGAACAATCGATACTCGGTTTGATTCAGTAAGATACTGTTCTCTTGGAGAAAACCTCACTTAGAATTGAGGAAAAATACATGCACTCCCTGCCTTGCTTAGCTGTCCTGCAAACGGTTCCAGGTTACATCACCCCTTACCCACTGGGAGAAAACTTTTTCCTACCAAACTTGACCAGCCGCTTAAGGCATAAAAAACCGCTTGGCACACGTGTGGGGAGGGCTGGAACGGTTTTGGCGTAGTCACCTTTGTGAGGTCGGGAACTCGTTTTAACCGAGAACCCTGTCCCCTGAAGTGAGCAGTGCCTGTGCTAGCAGCTTCACACTGCCCTGTCCTCTTGCAGCGTGGAGGACATCCACTTCCTGGTGCTGCAGAACCTGATCCAGAGCACGCTGTCCCTCTCCAACAGCCAGGTGAAGTCCTGCCAGTCCTTCCAGGTGGGTCCCGGCTTCCACGGGCTCAGGTGGGGCCAGCCCCGGGGGTGCTTGTTCCTGCCTGTCAGCTGTGGGCTCCAGGGACCCGAGGTCCAGCCCGTCGCCCCACTAACCTTGGGCCTCCAGCCCTTGCTTCTTGGATCCGTACTTGTTGGGGTTCTGTTCAGTTTTATTTTCATTTATTTTTATGTTACACGTTCAAAGCCGATGGTCTGATGTGTTGTGAAGTGATTGCCACAGAAACCTGGTGAACACACCTGCCGTCACAGAGCTAGCTCTTTTAAAGGCGAGAACACTTCGGATCTACCCCGGCACGTTCCAAACGCGGCACCAGGTTGTGACCTGCCGTCACGTGCCGTACGCTGATTAGCTCTCCAGAGCTGATTCATCTTGCGTGACTGGAAGCTGGCGCTCCCCTTGACCAGTATTATCCCCTCTTTGTGTCGTCCTTAAGGTGGGGACGGGATTCAGTGGCCTCCAGAGCTCCTCCCAGAGCTGAGAGTGTAGGTATCAGGGTTAAGACGGAAAACTAAGCAGATGAGGAAATGAGGCACGGCCTGGGAGCCGGAAGTCGCCGCGCTGCACAGCGTCCCTTCTCAAATCGCCCTCTGTAAACGTGGTTGGTGGTCCTGGGATGGGAGGCCGCCTTCCGACAGGCAGTGCCGCGTACTGAGGACTTGGGGCCGGGCCGCCGCTTGCTCGTGGCTAGAAAGGAGGAAGGCCAGCCCGTCCAGCCCACCCAGAGCCTGGGAGCTTGGTGCGTGCCCTGTGCGGAATCTGCAGACCTCACAGTCTGCTCTCTGGCTCAGGTCAGCCCGTTAGCCAAGGTTGGAATGGAGGAGGACAGTGAAGCCAGCCAAAGGGTGGGATTTCCCGATTCCACTGAGCTTGGATGGGCAGGGCCCAAGTGTTGGGGTTCCTCAGAGTCTACTGGGAGCGGGCAGGCATTGCAGTCGGGAATCGAGGGTGGGGCCCTAACAGCTGTCTCCCATTCAGTCCCCAGATCCTGCATAGGGACCAGGGACCACCCTGAGGAAGGGCTCGCAGTCCCAGTGCTGTGCACACCTCCCAGGCCTGCGCTTGGTGCCTTGCTCCAGGGCCCCACCCTGGGCCTAGTCTCTCAATGGGGTGGCCAGGCTTCTCCCCTGCTGGTGTGTGCCAGGTGCCCTTTCCAGAAACGTGGGGCAGCGGGGACCTTGCTGTCCTGCAGTCCTGTGAGCAGCTCTTTCCTGTGGAGCCCAAGGCCATAGACTCAGCTGCCTGTGCCGCATCACAGTGACGTGGTCAGCAGAGGAGCCTCTGTAGCACGAGGAGGCACCACTTCTGCAGAGGAGTGGGACAGGCATTGAGGGGGCGTGTGTGAGCTGAGCCCTAAGGAGTCAGCCACATGTAGGTCTGGGGCAGCACCGGGTGCAGGGTCCCCAAGGCAGGAAGGCTTGGCTTTTTCTGGAAAAGTCAGCAGGCCCGTGGAGCTAGAGGTAGTGAGCCAGGGTGTAACTGCAGGAGGTCAGGGCAGAGCAGCATACGGTCCTGCTCAGAGTCCCTGGGGCTCTCAAAGGATTGGCTGATTGCGAGCGCAGAGGGAAGCCATAAGAGCAGGTGTTCTGATTTAGACATCAAAGGTTACTTTGGCTGCTGTGGGGAATGGTCCGGAGCTGGCAGGGAGGACACCTGCAGGAGAGGCAGGGGTGCCAGGTAGCTGGAGGCTATGGTGAGAGAATGGTAGCATGGACCAGATGGTGACAGGGTAGATGCATTGGTGTCTTAGTTACTTTTTAGTTCCTGGAACAGAGTACCTGACACCCACAAGTTAAAGGAGGAAAAGTACTTTTAGCTCAGTTTGCAGAGTTCAGTCCATAGTCAGCTGGCTCCAAGGCAGGGCAGCGTGGCACAGGGGCCTGGCAGAGGAGAAACAGTCCATGGCAGGGCAGGCAGGAGGCAGCAGACTTCCTTCGTCTTTCTCTTTTTTATTCAGTGCAGGCTACAAGCCTCTTGGTTACTGCCACCCACACCCAGGGTAAATCCATCATAGCATGTGCAGGTACAGCACGTGTGCTAAACCAAGCAGTGGACTAATCCAGAATCTCTCTTTCTCTCACACACATACGCACACGATCCAGTCGCTCACAAAAAGCCCACCTATGAGTGCACGAGGCTTTGGAAGGACACCTGTATATAAGCCATAACTGTAACAACTGGGAACACATTTTGAAGCTCAGGCCCACCAGACCTAGCAATGGTTGGCTTGAGAGGCCCAGGGACAGAGTGACGTCTGGGGGAATCCTCTGTCGATTCTCAGTGTCTCTGCATCCAGACCGGTTTGGGTGAATGGCTTCCTTTCTCTCCAGCTGTCTGTGTGACGTGACAGTCCGAGAGTTGGGGTGGCCGGCTTCCCCCAGGGTCCCTCCGGCCACACGCGTGCACACGCACCGTCCCTCCCGGGCCCTCAGCCCTGAGACTCCATGCACCCACACTCCCCCAACACTGTCCGCAGATGTTCCGCCTCTTCCGCGAGTACAAGGAGCAAGTGCTGGTGCGGGCCTTCATGGAGTGTCAGAAGCGGAGCCTGGTGAACCGGCGCCGGGTCAACCACACCCTGGGCCCCAAGAAGAACCGGGCCCTGCCCTTCGTGCCCATGTCCTACCAGCTGTCCCAGTCCTACTACAGGTGGGTCCAGGGCTGTCTAGCTTTCTCGTGTGCGAGATGCAGGCCTGGGAGCGCTTCACTAGTCATACTGGCCTGCTTGTGTGAGCCAAGGGCAGCGTCGTGGCCTTTTGAGGCGGGCTGCACCTGTGCACCGGGTGTTGCATCTCCCGCTCCCTGCCAGATGGGGAAAAGTGAGTGTCATATTCAGCAGCGGGGTCAGTTAGAAGTCTTCCTTTGCCCTGTGTGATGTCAGTCCTTCGTCTCTGCGGCTCAGAGATCCCTGAAGCCTCCCGCTGCCCCTTGGCCCGTCTGCAGGGCTGGGGTGGGGGTCCTGCTCAGAGCAGCGTCCTGCCGGAGCCCTCAGCCAAAGGGGCTCCCTCGCAGCACGGCTCACGCTGTAGCTGGCTCTGCTGGCCGTGCCTGTGTGTTTGGTGTTTTGTGCCACCAACCTGGTCTCATGCCGAGAAGTCCTGTAAGACCCGCCAGGCAGTGTCTGTCGCCTCGCTAGCCTGCCGTGTCCCGCCCTGGGCATGAGGCCGTCTGCAGATGCAGGGAGACCGCGTCAGGAGTCTTGGTTCCTTTGCTCCATCCTTTGCCTCAGGCTCCAAGCACTACTTCTTCCTAAATGTTCACGCTAGTGACCCCCGGGCTCCTTTACCTTGGGGGCGGGGGAGGGAGCAGCAGACACACCCCAGTCCAGCCACATTTCCCATCTGCACCCTTCCCGCTGGCTAGTTACAGCGTGTGGAGAGGGCTGCTCCCATCGAGCCAGGGACTCGCAGCCCTGGGCTGGCCTCCAGAGGCAGTGAGGTGGGCCCCAGGCCCCCTGCCTACAGGAGATGGGCTGGCTTTGGGCTTTGGGTACGGGTTACTGTCCCTGAGGGGCTCTCACCCCCCAGCTCCGCAGCTGTTGCAGTAGGAGCCTCCAGGGTGAGGTATGGGGCTCTGGGTCAGGGTGAGAGAGCAGGACCCACCCGAGACAGGCAGCCGAGTGGGGAAGAGGAGGACAGGCCCCGCTGGGCACAGACACCGCTCCTCCATGCAGGATGGCGCAGGGAGCCCGGGTGGCGGGTGCGTGCTGTTCGGACTGTGACGGGTCTCTGGCCGCCGGGCCCTTCCTTTCTCTTGCCCATGCAGGCTTTTCACCTGGCGATTTCCCAGCACCATCTGCCTGGAGTCATACCAGTTCTTTGACAGACTCCGGGCTGCGGGCAAGTCGGACCAGTCTGATCCTTTTTCCTTCAAAGACCAGGATAGTGGTGACGCCCCAGCCGACATGGTGGCATTTTCCCTGGACGGCCCTGGAGGACACTGTGCAACCGCCCTGACCCTTTGGTCTCTGGGCCTCCTCTCCGTGGACGTCAGGATCCCAGAGCAGATCCTGGTGGTGGACAGCTCCATGGTGGAGAACGAGGTCATGAAGAGGTGAGCGCCGGCTCAGCGGCCGAGGTAGCCGGGACGCCCCGTGCACAGCTCTGGCCGGCGAGGCGTGCCTGGCGTCTCCCTTCGCTCTTGTGCCTGCGGTTGTGTTCGCTCTGTTGTCGGTCTTTTTCCGCTCCATAAATGTCTAAATTTTGCTGCATGGTGTCTGGCACTGCGCTAGGCGTTTGTGAAGCAAAGCCAGGTGGGCCTCACGGTGGGAGTGATGGTGCCCAGGTCCACGGCTAGGAATGGCAGTTCTGAGGGGCCGGAACTGATCTGGAACCTCTGGGAAGTTCCGAGACGGGGGAAGATTTCCCAGGCAGAGGAGCAGGCTCTGCAGGGACACGGGTGTGCGGACAGGCCGGCGTGGGTGAGGGAGGCCAGGAGGTGGGGCAGGAGCGGCGTCCCGCAAGCCGTCGGGGCAGGGGGGTGGACAGAGCAGGGGCGGGCCGGGCTGTCCGCAGCCCCTGAGCGGGCCTTGTTCTCCCCTCCCAGCCTGGGCAAGGAGGGGCTGGACGACGACGAGGACGACGAGGAAGACTTGGACGAGGGCTCGGGGGTCAAGCGTGCGGGGGTGGAGGTGAAGGCGCATCAGGCCTCCCACACCAAGTACCTGCTGATGAGGGGCTGCTGTGTGCCTGGCATCGTGAGCACACGCAACCTCAACCCCAACGACAGCGTCGTGGTCAACTCCTGCCAAGTGAAGTTCCGGCTCCGCTGCACCCCATTGCCCACGCAGCTCAGGCCTGCCGGTGAGTGTCCCCGGGGCCCGGCCCCGCCCCAGCCAGGTGCCGGCCCCTCCAGGCCCAGAGGCCAGGTGTGCAGCCGCAGCAGACAGAGAGAAATGCCCCACTTTCTGTACTTTTTTGGTACCAGAACTCAAACTCAGGGCCTTGCGCTTGCCAGTCGGGTGCTGTGTTGCCCGCTGAGCGTATCCCGGCCCCAACACCTCACTGAGCAGCGCCGTGGGGCACACGTCCTGAGACGCCATCATGGACAGCGCACATCAGCCTGCCGCGGTCCAGGGGCCCTGCCCGCACCTCCTGGGCACCCCCTTCCTGCCTGTTCTCACTTAGCCTTGGTAACTCTCCCGGGAACTGCGCAGTAGCAGGCTTTTTATTCGTTTGTTTGAGACAGAGTCTCACTATGTAGTTCATTCTGGCCTTAAACTCACTAGGTAGCCCTGGCTGGCCTCAAATTCAGCGATCCTCCTGCCTCAGCCTCCTGAGTGCTGAGATTATGCTTATTTCTTTAATTACTTTGCAGTACTGAGGTTTGAACTCAGGACCTTTACACTGAGCTACATCCTTTTATTTATTTTTTACACTAAGATAGCGTCTTGCTAAGTTGTCCAGGCTGGGCTCAAACTTTGGATCCTCCTCCCTCAGCCTCCTAGAGTGCTGGGATTATGGGTGGAGTTCCACCCTTAGGTGCAGTTATTACATATTGTCTTTAGTTCCTTTGACGTGAAAGGTGAGGGTCCAGCTCACACTCATGGCCGCCTCCCTCCTGTACTTCCAATGTGGCGTTCTTTAGTTTTTCTATTGATTACCTTTGAAACTAAGTGAGCTACTTAAACCTCCCTTCCCGTTCCCTCAGTTTGGGGCTCTCATGCTTCTGCCGCATTTTACAGCAGGAGGAGGGGTCTTCCTGCTCCGCACCTCCCACCTCCGCCTCCCCTTCCCTTCCTCTTCAGCCTGCTCTCCTTTCCGCACACGCTGGTGCCCGTGGTCCTCGCTGTCCGTTTCGCACCCCAGTTAGAGGTGGGTGCTTTGTCCGGAGCTTGGTCCGGGCAGCAGTGCAGTGATAACCTGTACGTGGAGGTGCTAGCAGAGAGACCTCCCACAGGTGGCAGGAGCACCCCCAGGCTGGAGGAAGGACAGGCAGGGATGTACTGGCGAGGCCTGGGGTTTCCCTGTGCTCCAGGGAGGGGCCGGCGCCCCTAGAGCGGGGCGGCCTCTGGCAGCCAGTCAGGGCCCCCTCCCCGGCGCAGGCGTCCACAGCTCACACACCCGCCCCGTCCTGTGCCGCGTGTCTCACGCAGGCCCCGGCAGGCCAGGCGTCCAGTCCAGGAGCTTTGGTCAGGAGCGCGGTGTCCCTTGAGGGTGGCCTTGTGACTGCAGGGAGCCGAGAGCTGGTGCTGGAGGGGGCCTGCCTCACGATGACGGAGGACTGAGTTTGGGGCCGGCTTCTTTTGACTTGATTCTGATCTTCCTCCTGGCCTTGGCAGACCCTTCTCTGCAAGAGCTCACGGCGGAAACCTCCTGCCTCCCCGACTCCTTCACCAGGCTGATAGCGCCCCCACGAAGTGTGCTGGGCTTGGAGGAACTTGCCCGCCAGGGGGCGCTCTCTGGGTATAGCCCGGAAGACGTGTCTGCTGCCCAGGCGATCTGGCAGGCGGTGGTCTCCGTGGGCAGCTTTGGGATTGACAAGGAGAAGCTGAGCAGACAGTTCTCAGCCTTGGAGAGGACAGCAGGCACCAGGACATTCCAAGACTACGTCCAGGTGAGCGGTGCCCCGGGGCAGCCTGGCTCATGCGTGCTGCAGGTGGCCTTGCTTTGGGGTTTATGGTACTGAGTTCTGTTAAAGAATGAATTAATATCAGCGTTTAAAGGTGAGGACATTTTACCTGAAATCCAGCCTTTCTTGGAGATTGAGTCGGAGGAGACTGGAGCAGCTGCTGTGCCCAGGGTAGGCTGAGCCCTCCTCGGCTCTCGCAGGCCTCTGCGAGGCCCCTGGACTTAGGTGTCACCTGCCTGGCCCCTCAGGCTCACTGGCCCTTGAACCTGTTGGGGCAGGCGCGCCCCTTGCGCTGAGCATGTCCTGCACGCTGTCAGCAGCTGAGCAGCGGGTCCGAGATAGCCCTGTGATAGGACGTCCACCTTGGGTCCGAGATAGCCCTGTGATAGGGACGTCCACCTTGGGTCCGAGATAGCCGTGTGATAGGACGTCCACCTTGGGTCCGAGATAGCCGTGTGATAGGACGTCCACCTTGGGTCCGAGATAGCCCTGTGATAGGGACTTCCACCTTGGGTCCGAGATAGCCCTGTGATAGGGACTTCCACCTTGGGTCCGAGATAGCCATGTGATAGGACGTCCACTTTGGGCCCCAGTTAGCCATGTGATAGGACGTCCACCTTCGGTCCGAGATAGCCGTGTGATAGGACGTCCACCTTGCAGTTTGCGTGCAAGGAGGCCCAGAGCACAGACGGGGCTGCTGAAGGAACCAGCTCGGTCTGCTCTCCAGAGATGAACGGAGGCAGCATTTGTGTTTATCTGACCAGCTCTCATGGCGGAGCAAACACCGCCACATTGCCCTGCGAGATAGCCAGAGCCCACAGCGGGCGAGGCCTTCCCCAAGGCCATGGTGGCGGAGCCCGGGGCCAGATCTCACTGACAGAAGGTGATGGGTCGGGCAGCTCCCACCGCCTCCTCGCGCCCCCGGCCACCTAGGCCTGCATGGGAATAGTGACCGTTCCCTGGAAGAACTTGGGTGTCAGCTCCTTGGGAGGGTGTGGCAGGCAGAGGAGACACGCAGGCTGCAGCTTCGGTGACCTGACTGTCCTTCCTGAAGCACACACGTCTGACTTGTTTCCTGAGTGGCCGCAGCACTCCCAGGCAGGGAAAGGGCCTGCCCTGGGGCCTCGCATCTGGGGCAGCCCCAGGGCCGGAAGTCAGGCCCTGTCCTGTGGAACTGGGCTCGCTGCCTGCTGAGGACCCTGACACATTGGCCAGGGGACACTCTGGGCATCACGTTGAGCAGTCTCCGTGACCCTGTTCCCAGACAGACCCTGCTGCTTTTCCTAGGACCTCTTGGCGTGGGGCCAGGTGCTGGAAGTCGGCGGCAGCACGGTCCGCCTGGTGGCCACGGCCCTCGCCCGGCCCTGGCTGCTGCACTCCGTGCGACCGAAAGACCCCGAGGAGGCGGCTGGTGCGCGGGAGGAGGACGTCCCCGAGGGAGCTGCCAGTGAGAGCGGTGCCCTCCACAGGCCGGTGCCACCTTCTCGCAGCCCTCAGGGCACCAAGAGACGGGCGCGCTGGGCCAGCCAGAGCAGCGACACCGACTCTGAGTGCACCCAGAAGCCCCCGGCAAAGCGGCCCGTGCTCCAGGACGTCCGCTTGGCCCCCAGCCCCAGGCTCCCGGCAGAAGAGGGCGTGGAAACCCAGGCTCTGGCCCCGCCCCCAGCTCCTAGAGACCCTGGTGCAGAGGGGCCCGGGCAGGAGGACCAAGAGGATGTCAGAGAACCCAGCTCCCCCGGGCCCGAGCAGCCGAGCAGTCAGGCCCAGCTCCCAGAGGGCTCAGAAGACCCCAGAGGTGCCGACGGGGAGCCCCGCCCCACCGCTTCTCTGGGCCCAGCTTGGCCCCGGGGCTGGGAACCACCACGCTCCCCTGGGCTTCGGCAGGTCCAGCTGGAGAGCAAAGTGCCGGCCTGTGGAGGGCAGAGGCCTGCCTTCGCATCCTCGGCGGTGGGCGGCACGGGCGGGTCTGGGGTTCTCCTGGGGCGGCGCCTGGTTTGTGGCCACGGCAGCCTCCGCTGGGCCCAGCGTGTCTCCGCTTCCCAGGCTGCTTTTGCCGAAGGGTTTCATGCACTTCGGCCTGTGGCCAGGACCTCTGGGTAGAGAATGAGGTGCTGCTGGCTGCCCCTGGCAAGAGGGCCCCTCGCCCACCCACACGCTGTGCGGGGCTCACAGCCCAGCCCCAGCCCCAGGCATGCGCATGCTGTGGGGTTCGGCCCGAGTCTTCCCGTTGCTTCTGTGTCCTGCTGGGTGCTGGGGTGAGGGGAGCGGGTGGCCGGCGGCCCCCCTGGATCTAAGCCCCTTCCTTCCTCCCCTCAGGGCTCATCGACACCCCTGGGGCCGGCGGAGTCTCCCCGGCAGCCCGGGAGAGGTGAGTGTGGATTCCGGGTCCTGCCTGGACGCTGGGGCGGAGCGCAGGGGCCTCGTCCTCGGTGTTCACGCAGGTGACCGGGTGTGAGCCATGGCAGGGGGCGGGCCCGGCTGCCCCGCACTGTGCTGCTCACCGGGGGCCCCGGGGGAGAAGTGAGCAAGCCCAGAAGGCCCTCCTGGCAGTGCCCAGGTGGCCATACCCACGAGCTTCCCTTCCACGTGCGCCACAGCTGTCCGTAGCTCGAGCCAGGCACCTTCACAGCCATGTCCCTGCACCTCCCCGGCCCGCAGTGGTCTCCCATTTCACAGATGAGGACAGGGCTGCCCTCGCCAGTCGTGCGGCCGGTGTGTGCCCAGGTAGACCGTGAGCGCGAGCCCTGTCTGGGGCAGCCCTCTCCGGGACGTGCACCGTCTCTGTACAGGCTGTGCCAGCAGGCTCAGCGCGGCCCTGGCGGAGCACCACGTCCGGAGGGCTGCAGCCTTCGGGCCTCCACGGCCACGTGCACTGCCTTCAGCTCAGCAGGGCCGTGTGCCCGGGGCCCAGCCCCGGCCCTCAGCTGTGTGCCGGCACGTGCAAAGCCTGTCCCGCGCGTGTGCAGCTGGTCAGCCCTGGTTCCACTTTGTCCCGAGGGCAGTGTGTGCGGCCCTTGCCCTCAGCCCCATGGCCAGGCCCTTGGGTGAGGCTACCAGGAGCTCGGCCAGAGGGGAGGCAGCCGCCGTCCAGCGTGGGGAAAGTTGGCTGACCCAGGAGTCCTGACTCGTCCTTCTCTTGCCCCTGGGGACTGACCTGGGGTCATCGGCTCCTCATGGCCTTGGTTACAGCTGTGTCTGAGCCGGTCCCCACATCGTGACCCAGCAAAACAATCAAATGATGGCCTCGGTTTTGACGGGGGAGGGGAAGGTCAGAGAGCAGAGGCACTGCCTAGCCCGGTGACCTCTGTGAGCCTCAGTGACCTGTCCACGACCGAGTTGACCTTGACCTCTGCAGGGACTGTGAGAACGTCTGCTTCATCGGCCGCCCGTGGCGCGGAGTGGACGGCCAGCTGAACATGCCGGTGTGCAAGGGCATGATGGAGGCCATGCTGTTCCACGTCATGAGCAAGCCGGGCGTCCCCGAGAGCAGCCTGCTGCAGCACTACCAGGGCGTCCTGCAGCCCGTCGCGGTGCTCGAGCTGCTCCAGGTGCGCGGGGTGGAAGGGGACATGGGCTCCCAGGGGTCGGCCCCGTGGCATCCTGCCTCAGCGCTCCGTCCAGCTGCCGGGCCTCTGCGGGGAGCCTGGCTGTCAGCCCTCTGCCCCGCCCCGCCCCGCCCCGCTCCCCGCCCTGTGCAGCGCAGCTCCAGCTGAAGCGGCCGATGCCCCGCGGCGTTCCTGCCACTTTCTCAGGGTCGCCCGCTCACAGCCCTCAGGAGCTCTGCGTGAGTGGCAAGTGGCGCGGCGCCCACGGCCGCGGGGAGAGCTGGGAGCCTGTACCCACCCCCCAGGGCGGCTGCACCCGTCCCGCTGGTGGCTGCCCGGTGCCCCACGGCCACCCATGCCCAGGGGCCCGGCTCCTTGACGGGTCGGGAAATGCCCCGAGCTGCTACGGAAGGCCCGGCACACGCCATTTGCCCGTGGAGAGCCTCTGCGGCAAGCACGGTGCGCTGGTGGCTCGGTCCGCCGCACTGTCGCCCGTCCTGCCCTGCTGTGCCCCAGGAGCGACCCACAGACGCTGCGAGGGCCCGTCCCCCTGCCCGGCGTGCCGCCCTGCAGCCGCGCCCCTGCTGTGTCCGCAGGGCCTGGAGTCCCTCGGCTGCGTCCGGAAGCGCGTGCTGCGGAAGCGCACGGCCGTGTCGCTGTTCTCCGAGCCGGAGGAGGCGCAGCCCGGCGCGGAGGTGCCCCTGGGCCCCGGGGACCGCGCCGCCGCCTTCTACGAGCCCACGCTGGACTGCGCCATCCGCCTGGGCTGCGTCTTCCCGCCCACGGTCAACTGGAACAAGTGGAGCCACTTGTAGCCGCGCCTGCACCGCCCTGCCGGCCCACCGCCACCGCCCTCCGGCTCCGCACGCGGCTGCGCGGCCAG